GATGGGCATCTGCCATGGATGCTTGAGCTGAGATTCCTGCCTTGCAGGGGTTGGACTAGATGACCCTCGGGTCCCTTACAACTCTATGATTCTATGATCCAAGAGACACGTTTTTCAGGTCACAGCAGATCGCTGTGACTGTAAATTGTTTTGAACTGCTTTTAGCATTGATTTCCCCCCCCCCTTTATTACGGTCCAGAGACCCAACAAATTGTTACAAAGCAATGCACAATTCAGACAGCCTACCTCCAGGTTAAACAAGCATTTTGTTCAGACTTAAAGACAGGGATCATTGGTTCTTGCAACCACCGATAAAAACTTTGCCACTGCTAATGTTCTAGCGTTTGTCCGGTCTTCCAATAGGAACCTGACATAATGAGCCTCTGATTTTCCCAGGAAAGGTACCAGCAAGGGTAATATCAGTTCAGCCTTGGCTTGCTCATGTTTCGCAGCAAAATATGTTTTATAGAATCGATGTCTTGAGCACATGAGCAAAGTCTGTCCTGGTAGGGAACTCCTCTCAACCTGCCATCCAACACTGCAGAAGGAAAGACGTTTAGTCTGGCTTTGGTGAACAACCTTAGATAATTTGGTACTGAATTTTAAATTTCTGTAGTCCACTGAGGGACGTTAGGGTGAAGAAATCAAATTAAGAGAAGTAAGAGAAATAACCTTCTTTTTCTCATTTATTCAACAGGTAAAAGGTGGGTGGGCATACCTGAGGGAGAGAGATACACACCTGAAGATGTTGAGGGGTTTTCCGGAGGGAGAGCAGAGGAGGAGAACTTTTCCTCGTCCTCTGTCGTCCCCTTCTCCTTGTGCCCTCCATCTTTCCCAACATCAGGGTCTTTTCCAGGGAGTCTTCTCTTCTCACGAGGTGGCCAAAGTACTGGAGCCTCAGCTTCACGATCTGTCCTTCCAGTGAGCACTCAGGGCTGATTTCCTTCAGAATGGACCGGTTTGATCCTCTTGCAGTCCATGGGACTCTCAAGAGTCTCCTCCATCACCAGAATTCAAAAGCATCAATTTCCCAACTCCTACTTGCATGCAAGCAGGAGCGGGGCGGGGATCTCTCAGCTGTGAAGGGAGGCTTCACGCTGCCTATCGGAGCTTGCGTGCAAGCAGGAGGGGGCAGGATCTCTCAGTTAGGCAACGGGAAGCCTCCCTTTCCAGCTGAGGGATCCCTGCTCCCTCCTGCTAGCACGCAAGTAGGAATGGGATTGGGGCTGCTCCGATGGGATGGGAGGCATCGTGCTGCCTGAGCCTCGCCGCTGCTGCTGCTCTTGGCCCTCCTCCGCCTTGTATGCCAGACCCACTGCGCACTGCTTCCCCACCACCACCACCGAAGAACGTACAACTTAGGGCCTGCCCAGGCTCATGGAGAAAGGAGAAGGGGAACCATGGCGGTTGAGGTCAAGGCGGTGGACGCCCCTCTGCCAGCCCACCGCCATCGCTGCAGTAGCAACATCCCAAACGTGTAGTAAGTATGTATGTATGTATATATATGTATAGGGTCCCCAGATTCATTGAAAAAATCTGGTAACCTTAGTCTGGACCGCTTTGTTTCTTGACTAAAACGTTGACGGGTATTTCAGGTGCCAGGGGCCTTCCGAGAGGCTGCTGTGACCTTCGCTGGAAATGTGGAGGCATCGCCGGAAACAACCCAGAGGCAGCTTGGTGGGGAGTTCAAGCGGGGAAATGAGGGGGTCTCCAGCGTGCTGGGTAAGGGCTCACCCCCCGCCGTGAATTGTCGTTTCAAGTAGGTATAATGCCCTGATGCAGGGAATCACCAACATGGGGTGCTCGGCCCCTTTCTGTGACGCCCATGAAAGGTCTCAGTAGAGAAACCCCTCAAAAATCCACAATCCACAACAGACTTGTTTCTTCTTCCTGCTCAGTTCCTGTTTGCATTGACTTAGCCATTCCTACATAGATAGCTTTTTGGCTCCACGAAGCTGATTGGCCTTGAAGATGAAATTTAGCAGGTGGGCGGGGACACTCCCTGTCAATCACCTGATGTCGCAATAACATCAGATGGAAGGTGCCGCTAAAACGAAAGTGTTTTCCCTCCCTCCTTCATTTTAAGCGGGGCGTTCTGACGCAAACACCATCCTGTTTCACATCTGGTCTAACCCCACCCCCCAGTCTGGGTGAAAGAACATGATTTGCAAATGAGAGGTTCTTTCTGCAGCTTAACTTGTTGCACCCCTAGCTCATGGGATCATAGAATTGAGCTTTGGAAAGGATTTTGAGGGTCATCTGGCCCAAACACCCGCAATGCAGGAATCTCAGCTGAAGCATCCATGACAGATGGCCTTCTAAAACCTCCAATGAAGCAGGTTGATTTTATTTATTTATTTATTTATTTATTTATTTATACATACCCCCGCCCATCTGGCTGGGTTTCTCCCGCCACTCTGTGTGGCTTCCAACAGAATATTAAAATACAATAATCTATTATAAAAGCTTCCCTAAACAGGGCTGCCTTCAGATGTCTTCTAAAAGTCTGGTAGTTGTTGTTCTCTTTGACATCTGGTGGGAGGGCATTCCACAGGTTGGGTGCCACTACCGAGAAGGCCCTCTGCCTGGTTCCCTGTAACTTAGCTTCTCGCAGGGAGGGAACTGCCAGAAGGCCCTTGGCGTTGGACCTCAGTGTCCGGGCAGAACGATGGGGGTGGAGACGCTCCTTCAGGTATACTGGGCTGAGGCCGTTTAGGACTTTTTGTTGTTGTTGTTGTATAAGATATTTATTGAGGGGGAAGTAAAAGCCCATGGATCCTCAGCATTTTTACATTGGGTCACCCCAGATTCACCATCAGATCACATAACATGTCCATGGCTACAGCCTGCACCAAAAATATCACGCACCCACTGTTGCGTGGGGCCGCAATGGCGCAAAAACATGGTTACAAAGCACGGATCCACATGGATCCTCAGGATTTTTTGCATTGGGCTACTCCAAACTCACTGTCAAATCACATGTCTGTGGCCACAGCATGAACCACCAAAATCATACATCCACTGTTTCGTTCAGAATCCCCCCCCCCCCCCGTTTTCCTCCTCTAAAAAACTAGGTGCGTCTTATGGAGCGAAAATACGGTAAATACTGCCTTCAGACAGATGGGGTGGGGTACAAATAAAAAAAATTATCATCCTCATCATCACTCGATAACCCTCTCCTCCATGAATTTGTCTTTTTTAAAATCAGTGGCTGTTGGTGCTTCTTGTGGCAGTGAGTTCCACAGTTTAACTGTGAAATACTTTTCTTTGGTCCAACGTTCGGCTTCATTGGATGTCTGGCATTATGGGAGCGCGAGAAGCACGTTATCAGTGTTCCCCACGGCTTGCGTTTCCTTTTCCGTGCCACGCATTAGTTTTCCCTCCTAAAAATAAAATAAATGTGACAAGCAGCCCATAAGATGGACCGCGCATAATTTTATAAAGTTCTGCTCTAGTTGCCTCTTTCTCACATTTCCCTCTAAACCAAAAAAATCCCCAAATGTTGAAACCTCTCCGCATGTGGGAGACGTTTCCGACTTTGGCTGGTGTTTCCTGAAACTCTTCCCAACTCCACGATACCCTTTTGGGAGGGTGGGGACCGCATGGGGAGAGCAGTGTTGTTAGCAGAAATATGAATCACCCCACACTTAGTCCTTTTACAATTTCTCTCTTTGTTGGAAGCTGCCTTAAAGGTAAAGGGACCCCTGACCATTAGGTCCAGTCGTGACCGACTCTGGGTTGTGGCACTCATCTCGCTTTATTGGCCAAGGGAGCCGGCGTTCAGCTTCTGGGTCATGTGGGCAGCAAGGACTAAGCTGCTTCTGGCGAACCAGAGCAGCGCACAGAAACGCCGTTTACCTTCCTGCTGGAGCGGTACCTATTTATCTACTTGCACTTTGATGTGCTTTTGAACTACTAGGTTGGCAGGAGCAGGGACCGAGAAGTGGTCAGCCAGATGGGCGGGGAACAAAAGAATAAATAAATATGATAATTCCAGATCCAACACAATTAGCCTTCCTCCCCTGTCTAGCCACCGCCGGTATGAAATTGTGTCTTCATTTTTTCTTTTTTTTAAAATCATTTTTATTGATTTTCCAATAAAAATAGCCAATCAAGATACCCGAATCATAATCCAATTAAAAATAATAAACTAAAAACAAAACAACCAATTGTAGTTATTAATTTTTACAGGCTCCCTATAGTCTGGACCTCTGAAGCATATCTCCAAATTTTCTTCCTGCCTCTTCTCGTTGCTTCATATTTTCCTCCTTCTGATCTTAACGCTTTAAAGTTCTCCGTCCCTGGCTATGCAAACTGCAAAATGTGCTCTCTGTTAGGGAGTGTTGTGTATTGAGTCAAAGGACTTTATATCTGTATTATTAGTGTCTGTATTTGCATTAGGGTAAAGTAACTGCCCTTTGGTTCCAGAGGGTACAGCTACTTTTGTTCATTTAAGCTGCTGTATTTGGATCCTCTGTCTTATTGGTTTCCTCCAAAAGGCAGGGACTGTGATTGCCTGATATTGTTCCCTTTCTAGCTAGTTCCCTGTCCCTATAAATGTAGCTCTCCCCTCCTCAGGTCTTAAGTCTTGTTTGCTTTAATATAGACGCGCGCCAGCATATACAACAGGGAGAACACACTTTCCAGGAAGGGAAACTCCCAGTGGCTGAAAACTGAAAAAGCGAAAACTTAAGGGACTCTTCAGCACGAGGGAGCCATGGCTGCTGCAGGGGGTCACATCCAGCGTCTCCGTGATGAAGCCACTTGCCCCATCTGCCGAGATTACTTCAAGGATCCAGTGACCATCCCAGAGTGTGGGCACAACTTCTGCCGATCCTGCTTGGCCCAGTGCTGGGGGGAATCGAAGGCAGAGGCTTCCTGCCCTCAGTGCAGGGAAAGAAGTCCACAGAAGGAGCCGCATCCCCAACCGGCAACTGGCTAATGTGGTGGAAATAGCCAAGAATCTCGGCCTTCAAAGAGGGAAGGAGGAAGGAGGGAAAGGGAGAATCTGCGAGAAGCACCAGGAGCCCCTGAAGCTCTTCTGCAAAGTTCATGAAGCCCCCATCTGCCTGGTGTGTGACAGATCCAAGGAACATGAAAATCACAAGGTGATTCCTCTGGAGGAGGCTTCCGAGGAATACAAGGTAGGAGAGATCCCTGGATCTGGAGGGGAGAAATAAATAGCTGTGGATTCTTCTTGGGAGGTTTTCTTTTGAATTCTCAGGTCCAAAGTAGCCATGGCATGAATTGGTCATTGTTTATCACCTTGGAAGCAGCCCAGGGGAAACCAGAGGGCTCCTGGGGTGGCTGGAGGGGGGAGTTGAAGTCTTTCTCTCTGCCAGGGGGACAAGGGGATCTTGAAAGATTTGAACTGGGACCTTGGCAGGGAGAGAAAGGGTTAACCTCGTCCACATCCCCCTGAAAGGTTGCTATGTACGCATTAAGAACAGTACAAATGTAAATGGCACATACACAACTAAGTACATGTCTCCTCAATGCCCTGCAAAACAGAGAGCAGCAAGGAATCAGCTGGGGGCGGGCGGGGACTGTTAGCCAGGAGTTGACCAGATGGTGCAGGATCCCACCCCCCAAGTATCTGTTGGAAGCAGATTTGGGAGTGGAAGGAGCTACTGGTGGGCTTAATCTGGGGGTGCTGTGGAGCCTGTGCAATGAGGTTTTCAGCGGGGGGGGGGGGCTGAGGATCTCCTCCCACCCCAAATGGCAAAGGACTCCGTGGTTCAGAGTAGCATCTGCAAAGACCAGGGGGAAAGATGACTTTTTCATGGCAACTCGGAATTGGACCTGTGCAATTATATACTATAATATAATGCCTTTTAAATTCCTTTTAAAAATCAAAGTTGTTCTACACTCTGGGGTTGTGCGCCCATCTCAGTCAAGAGGCCGGGGGCCAGCGCTGTCCGAAGACACTTCGGGGTCACGTGGCCAGTGTGACAAAGCTGCATCTGGCGAGCCAGAGCCGCACACGGAAACGCCGTTTACCTTCCCGCTAGTAAGCGGTCCCTATTTATCTACTTGCACCCGGGGTGCTTTCGAACTGCTAGGTTGGCAGGCGCTGGGACCGAACAACGGGAGCGCACCCCCCGGGGATTCGAACCGCCGACCTTTCGATCGGCAAGCCCTAGGCGCTGAGGCTTTTACCCACAGCGCCACCCGCGTCCCTCTTGTTCTACTACAGTGGTGCAAAAATGCTCCTGTGCCATGCAGTGCTACTAATGCCACGAAATAGTAATAATAGTGGGGGAAAGCTGGTCCCTTTGAATTGGCAGGATGACTAGGCAGCAATCTTCTGACCGAAGGAGCTGCCTGGCTGGATTCTGGCCGCAGCCAGAACTTCTTTGGCCCAGAAATGGAAGAAGCTGCAGCACTTAAATCTCCCCTGGTTGCCCAAGCACACTTGGGGTCTGGCTACTGCAGAGAAAATAACTGACAAATAGCAGAAAACCTGAATTGCTATCTGACCCGAAAGAGGGGTTTGGAATGGGTGAAGTTTTGAGAAGCGCTGCTCTATCTCTGCATCTCTCGCCTCTTGGGCTGACCTCACTAGTATCTCTTTGACGCTAGACTGATACATCCCAGGTTGGATCCTGCCTTAGCCCTTCCTCTCCTCCTCCTCCTCCTCCTCCTCCTCCTCCTCTTCCCACTTCTCCCTGAGACCTCAAGGTGAGAAGTCAGGCTGGGACTCCCAAGGAAAGGAGAGGAGGCTGAGAGATCACTCCACAAGGGAGGGTGTTTGAGAAAAGGTGAGGGGCTGCCAGCTCTGCAAGGAAGGGGGGACCTAACTGAGATCCTGAGCCCCACAGGGCTGCCGCAGAAAGAAGGTAGTTGACCCATGGAGCCGTGGACCCCAAAAGGCTGAAAACCTCTGTGCTTTTATTTCCTCCAGGAAACTACTTTGCTATTCTAGCAAGGCCACTGGGCGCAAGAAGCCATTGTGATTTCCATCTCTCTGTGTGTCTCAATCAAAGCTGAGTTTTTCCTTTTCTCTTTAGGGAGAGATCTGTCACCGCCTGGAGATTCTGAGGAAAGAGAGAGGAAATTCTGGCCTATCGAGCAGATCTGGACAAGGAAAGCAAAGACCTCCTGGTAAGTGTCTCTATTGTTACTCGACAGGGAACAAGCACTTGAGACCTCCAGGTATAGGGCAGTATATAAATTCAATAGAGAAGAAGAGGAAGAGAAGAAGAAGAAGAAGAAGAAGAAGAAGAGAGTCAGGACTGAGGAGGGATGGAGAAATCTGCCCGTTTCAGCTTCTCCTCATTTCTCCTTTTTCCACATCAGTCTGTTATGAATCAGTTGTTAGGGTAGCTACCTCCTTGTATAAATATTTTGATCTGTACTTTACCCTCATAAATACATTTTTTGTGAATATTACCTGGCTGGGTCCAGCTTGAAAATATCAGAATTTTAAAACTCTGTTTTGGTCTCCGTATTTTTTCAGCAAGAGCAAATTAGGTAATGTTACGGAAAAATCCCGGGTGCGGAGTTGTCCTGTCACCCAGCTCGTCGGACAAAGTCCGCGGGTCCTAGCGGAGAAAATAAGCTCAGCCGGACGCAGGAGCAAGATGCGGAGATCCGAGGTTTATTGCGCAACAGGTTCAAGACGAGATTGAACCCCGAGAATGGGGCGACATAAACTTTTAAAAGTTCCCTCCGAGTCCCAGAATACAGTGCAAGAAACGTCATGAATACATTATGGGAAGGTTGGGTTTCACGAGTTGCATCATGAATACATTACACACGTCATGAATATATTAAAGAAAGGTGGGGTTCCACTAATTAACATTTTAGATAAGGGGGGGGACATGCAGAGTGAGAGATATGCATAGATAAACATTTCTTGAGTACCGGTGGTGGCAAGACAATAGTCCAGAGATATGCATCGTCTGCCACCTAGTATTGCCCGGAGGAAGGGTTAGGCGGAACGATTTGACAGGATTAGGAAGTTCCTGTGTACGTGACCTGCCGTTTCGGGGATTATGGAAGTAGGGGTAGCATCATGGAGTCCAAAGGGAGCTGAGTTGAACGGCACCAAGAGCGAGGAAATCGGAGTTACGGTTGATTTTATATCAATTTCCAAAGGTTTCCGTATTTTCCAGCCTATTTCGTATTGCTGATCAAAAGGGGAAACAGAATGGATACATTGTAACAGAATGGATACATTGTAGCAAGACTTTGACAGTTTTACGAGGTCCGGGGTTTCGATTCCATTGTTCTGGCAGTGGGGGGCCGTCAGCAGCTTGTCAGGAGGTGAAATGAGGCGTGCAGTAGCTCCCTGAGCTAGCTTCTGCAGGGCGAATGCATGGCTGTGATTGGCTAAAACGCGGCCCATTATAGTGAATGGGGATACAATATGATACGGTCTACTCACGTTAGAAATAGGGCGAGAGGAAGGCATAAGAAAGATGGGGCTTATTTTGCCCGTATAAAGATAGGAAAAGAAAGCCTTTTATTCACAAGGCAGGGGTATAGGGGGTATAGTGTAGTGCTTGTGCAACGGTGTGGGGGCTGAGGGTTCTAGGCAGAGCTGGGCACTGTCGAGGTCATCGCCTCGGACCCCTTCAGAAAGTGGTGGGGAGGGGACAGGTACCCCCCCTTCCTCCTTCCGTATCAGGTAAGTTCACCTTTGAATGCAGCTAAATTGTGTTTATTTCCCCTTGTCCTTTATTATGTGAATAGCAGTCAAGGAGAAGCTTGAGGACTTGTGAGCTGAAAGGGTGGAAGCAATTCAATCCAAATCCTGATTTACTATAAATATTACTAAAGAACTGAATTCTAAATGTGCTCTCTTGTTCATTTTTAGGAAACTCAGGCTTTTTTTAAACCTTTAAAGGAAACAGGGGAGCTCTGGGGATGAACTCTGCACTTTGTCCTCCTCTGTTTCTGTTTCTTCCTACACCTAAATGGCCCCAGTCTAAACTGAGGGGTGTTTTATGTCTCTGATATTCTCTGAACAACTGTGAACTCTGGTTATGCCATGCCCCAAAACATGCAGGGATAATCCATGGCTAGGAAAAAAGAGCTCCTTCCTTTAGGCTGTATCCGTCTGCAAAATAGAAGTCAACAGAAACAGCAATGGAGAGGGCCTCCCCTCAAAATATAGGTTTACTTCTTTAGCCACTGGAGGTTTCATGTCTATAGAAAAATCAGAAGTGTCCTTCCTCCCTGTGGAATTCTCATAATTTTCTTTCTGCTGTTTCGAGGCTAAGCACATGTTACGGAAATTACGGGGGGGCACATCTTTAAAGTTAAATATTACAAATATTATGCCTGAATATATCCTTCCAACTTGACAGCTCAGGAAAGTCACCTAGCTTTAAAAAATAATATAAAATCATCTCCTTTCCCAGTTCCCCCCATTCCAAAGCTATTTTCCCCTTGCAAAAGGACTCCAGGAAGTTCTCAGAGGTGACAATTGCTGGGCTCATTGTTAGCCAAGGGAAGCCAAATCTCATCACCCGACTCCCTCAGGCTCCAGACATGCAAAGGGACTTCTATTGTACTTTTGGGGTACTTAAGTGGGTACTTAAGACATATTTGTCTATGCTAATCTTATACCTGAGTCTTGCCCTGCCATGTCTGCTTATGCTAATCTTGTACCAAGGACTTGTCTGGACATGTTTGCCAAGGTTACCCCCTCCCCTTCGAACTGTATTCTGGGATGTGGTGGGAAAGTTTTAAAAGTCTTTGTCACCCCATCCTCAGGGTTCAAATTTGCTTTTGAACCTATTGCGCAATAAACTTTGGTCTACAGCTATTTGCTCCGCTTGGCTGGACTCCTTCCTTTATTCCGCAGGGACCCGCAGGCTATGCCCGACGAGCTGGGTGACTGAGCAGCCTCACACCTAGATTTTTCCCTAACAGCACCAAACACACTCAGACCTCCTCTTTTCTTGCAGAAATTAACAGAAACAGAGAGGCTGAAGATTGTGGAGAAGTTCAGAGAACTGTGCCAGTTCCTGGAAGAACAAGAAAAAGGTCTGCTGAATCATATGGAAGAGGTGGAGAAGGAGATTGCAGGGAGAAGGGATGAGCAGCTGGCCAGACTCTCCAGGAAACTCTCCTCTCTTGAGAGGATCATCCAGGAGATGGAGGAGAAGCGTCAGCAGCCAGCGAGTGAACTGCTGCAGGTAAGATGGTGGCAGGAACAGCCCAAGGCTCCAGGAAAAGGCTGCCTCCAATCCTTTATGTGTCCCTTTCATGTATGCAAGGAGTGCAGGGGCTCAGATGATGGAGCCTCTAGTCAGGTTTGTCATGGACAGGAAGACCCAAGAGACCTGGGATGCTTAACTCACCTGAATGCAGACTAGAGATTCTTCTGTGTTCTTGATGGAACAGGAGGTGGTTTTCTGCTCTTTGCTGATGATTTGTCTCCAAATGCCGCCTTCTTCTTGGCAATGCTGCCTTCCTGCCCTGGGCTGGGCTGGGCTTCAGCGAGGATGAGTTCAGGCCTCCTTCTGACATGAGCCAGTCTCTTGACCAAGCTTCTCTTCCAGTTCCCTCCACAACTTCTTGGTTGATCCCCTTCACAATGGATACAGAGCGGCCCAAAATGGTGCTCAGTCACAGTGACCAAAGAGCAAGACAGAGGGACTCATCCAGACTGCTGCTTCTCCCACACCTTTCCTCCAGGAAAACCTGCTCTCTACTGCTGAATGAGAGCAAACCTCAGCCAGGTTTTCTCCGGATTGACGTTTGCTTAGATGTTGAACTAAGGAGCAGGTTTTTCCTGAGGGAAAGCGGCAGGGCAAAGGCAAAACTACTTGGACCTGTGTTTTCTGGGCACAGGAAAAGCAGAAGTGTGGATGAGCCCAAAGAAACACTCAGCTATATAATAATAATAATTGTTGTTGTTTAGTCGTTCAGTCGTGTCCGACTCTTTGTGACCCCATGGACCAGAGCACGCCAGGCCCTCCTTTCTTCCACTGCCTCCCGCAGTTTGGTCAGACTCATGTTTGCAGCTTTGAGAACACCGTCCAACCATCTGGTCCTCTGTCGTCCCCTTCTCCTTGTGCCCTCCATCTTTCCCAACATCAGGGTCTTTTCCAGGGAGTCTTCTCTTCTCATGAGGTGGCCAAAGTATTGGAGCCTCAGCTTCACAATCTGTCCTTCCAGTGAGCACTCAGGGCTAATCTCCTTAAGAATGGATACGTTTGATCTTCTTGCAGTCCAAGGGACTCTCAAGAATCTCCTCCAGCACCATAATTCAAAAGCATCAATTCTTCGGCGATCAGCCTTTTTGATGGTCCAGCTCTCACTTCCATACATCACTACTGGGAAAACCATGGCTGTAACTATACGGACCTTTGTTGGTAAGGTGATGTCTCTGCTTTTTAAGATGCTGTCTAGGTTTGCCATCGCCTTTCTCCCAAGGAGCAGGCGTCTTTATAATAATAATAATAATAATAATAATAATAATAATAATAATAATATATTTTTGTCCCGCCCATCTGCCTGGGTTACCCCAGCCACTCTGAGCGGCTTCCAACCAAATATTAAAAACAATACAGCATCAGACATTAAAAACGTCCCTAAGAAGGGCCGCCTTCAGTTTCCTTCTAAAAGTCAGATAGTTTTTTACTTCCTTGACATCTGATGGAAAGGCGTTCCACAGGGCTGGTGCCACTACCAAGAGGGCCCTCTGCCTGGTTCCCTGGAACCTCACTTCTTGCAAGGAGGGAACCTCAGTGTCCAGGCAGAACGATGGGGGTGGAGACGCTCCTTCAGGTACACTGGGCTGAGGCCATTTAGGGTTTGAAAGGTCAGCACCAACACTTTGAATTGTGCTCGGAAACGTACTGGGAGGTGCTTTATTACCCCTTTGGAGGCATTTTATGCTGCAGGTGCTTTTCTTATTTCCAGTTGGAAAGTAGAATTTGAAATTTGGGGACTTCTATGGAAGACAATTTGGGACAGTTCTCTGGTAGGATTATCCTGTAGGCTTACTTACGTCTGAATTGCACAATGCAAACTGCATTAAAGTTAATAAATTATAATCTAAGACAAGAGATGGGATGGAATCTTCTCCTGAACCCACAAATATTTTCCTGATTAAAATTGTTGCCCGGGCAGATTTTTAAAATTTGGCATAATGTCCCAAGTTTTTTGGTTTGGTTTTTTGGTTTACATGAACGCACGGAATTTTTCTAGTGTATTAGACTCAGATCTAAGACACCTTGCTTAGCTAGTCTGCAGCAGAGAATCACAACAGAATGCCGTATTGGCCCGAATATAAGCCGCACCCACAAATAAGCCACACCTTTAAAATTCAAGGGGGGGGGAGAAAAAAAGATAATACCCAAATATAAGCCACTCCCTTAAAATTCGGTTACAGGCTGAAAATTGCTGCCACAGGTACAAGTGTAACTCCGAGCCAATTTAAGCCTTTGCTCTTGCAAGCCCACAAAAGTTACCGTGCAATCGCTAAAATCGCAAATCACTATTCAGCTGCTACAATGCCGCAGGCACTCACACCCGTAAATGGCAAATGAAGTCTCAAGCTCGCAAATCGGCAATTAAACTTTTTTTTGTTCCCTTTTACCGTATGTCTGTTTCAGCAGCAATATCGTAAAAGGCAGTTTTTGTAAGGTCGCAAATTTAAGCCACACTTTAAATTTTCAAGGTCAGAATTGGGGGGGGGGAGTGCAGCTTATATTCGGACCAAAATAATAATAATAATAATAATAATAATAATAATAATAATAATAATAATAATAATGCACCGTTTCTAATAAGGCTGCACCTAAGATAGCTCAGATGGCAGAGCATGAGACTCTGAATCTCAGGGACGTGGGTTCCAGCCCCATGTCGGGTGAAAAATTCCTGCATTGCAGGGGGTTGGACTAGATGACCCTCGGGTCCCTTCCAATGCTGCGATTCTGCAAGGATTTGTGCAGCTGAAGAGTTAAACCCACAGAGCTGCAATGGCTAGAGTTGCAGGAGGGAGGCAGGCTTGTGAAAGCCAGGAAGGGTTTTTCCTCCCTGGTTAGGGGGTGGGCCTTGGTTTTGAATTTCTTTTGCAGCTGGCATAAAAGGAGGAGGAAAGAAGGAGAGGAGGAGAAGACAGGAGGACAGTGTGCTAGACTGGGGCATGGAGGCGGAGAGGCAGGGAATTGCTGGAGGAGGAAAAAAGACCCTCTTTTGCAATCGCTCTCCCTCCTCTGGGTAGCAGGCAGGGGTCTCTCTGCTGCTGGTTTCCCCCTTCCAGAAGAAGCAAACTCTTTGAGCAAGCTGGGTCAAAGGGTACCTGGACAGCGCTTTTCTATGGGGTACTGGGGAGGGGCGGTAGAAGAGGGGGACGGCATGGGGCAGGGAGCCTCCTAAAACGAAGGGGGCCTGCCTGCTTGAGCCTCCTACAATTCCTGGGTGATGGGGGGGGCTTCTGCAGAGCATCGGAGACCAAAGTGCATAGCAGCGTATCGTTAACCTCTGGAACTCCCCTCCACAGGAGAGAATAATAATAATAATAATAATAATAATAATAATAATAATAATTTATACCCCGCCCTCCCCAGCCAAGACCGGTCTCAGGGCAGCTAACACCCAATATAAAAACAAATACAATTTAAAAACAAGGAGTTCCTGAAGACAATGGAGTCTCCTCTGCCCGGATCGGCGAGGCGGCCCCATGGGACGATGCCAAGGGCTTTCTGGCCTCCTTTGAGCGGGTGGCCCAAGGGAGAGTGGGCGGCCAGGCTGCTGCCAGCCCTCTGAGGAGGGGCCGAGTGGGCCTTTGGCAGCCTGGAGGCCAGCGACAGAGAGGATTATGGGGAAGTGAAGGCGGCCATCTTGCGCGGGGACACCACCGCCCAGGAGAAGCAGCGGCAGCAGCAGCACTTCCGCCGCTTCTGCTACCAGGAGGCCGAGGGGCGAGGCCTATGGCCGCCTCCAGGAGCTCTGCCGTGGGTGGTTAAAAGTGGACCGGCACACCAAGGAGCAGGTTCTGGAACTGCTGATCCTGGAGCAGTTCCTGGCTATCCTGCCGCCCGAGGTCCAGGGCTGGGTCAGGGAGGCCGGGCCTGAGAGCTGCTCCCAGGCAGTGGCCCTGGCCGAGGAAGACCTCCAGGCGCAACGGGAAGCTGAGGGGCAGGAGCTCACATGCGCCTTGGGGCTGTGTTGCTGGGGGGCTCCTGGGGGGCTGATCCTGCCACTCCCTGGGTTGTTAACCAAGAGAGCGAAGCCTGTCCGTTTCATGCTGATTAAGGAGGGGAAGTCCAATTCTATGCCCCTAGCTCACTCAGGGAAACACTTAATCTCAGGGTTGCGGGTTCAAGTCCCGTTTGGGGGCAAAAGATTCCTGCGTTGCAGGGGGTTGGACTAGATGACCCTCAGGATCCCTTCCAACTCTATGATTCCTGTGCTCTTCTAGGCATACTCCCCAAGTGTCCCTTGTCTCCAATGACAGTTCTGGAATTATGAAAGCCATCCCAGCTTCTGATTTGATCCTGGACTGTCCCTAATTCCGCTGCCAGTGCCGAGATCGGGGAATAGTATGAGCTGGCCCTTGTCCCAAGCCATGGCGGCTGCGGGCGGCTGTGAGAGGGCATCCTGTTGCCTCTCCATGGCCTCTCCACGGCCGCTGCTACCAGCTTCCTCCCTTGGGCAGCTGCTAGTGGCTGCTAGATAGCGGGTGGGGAGGAGAGGCCACCACCATTAAGGCCCTGTTTGACGCGCCAGCTCTGAGGGGGAGGCAGAGGACAAGAAGAAAGAAAGAAAGAAATATTTAGCTGGGAAAGAAGAAAGGGGGAGTGGAGCAGAGCACAAGGAATCTTGATTTTTGGACAGTGAAACCTCAGTTTTCGAGCGTATCGGATGCTGAACGATTCGGAACCCGAACGCCGAAAACTCGGAAGCAATTCTTTTCGTTTCAAAGTCAAACGGCTTCCGAGTCACATTTCTCCATTTTTTCAAGGGATTTCACGCCCATTGCGCCTCGGCTGTCGAACG